CTCTCCTTGGGGTCGATCTCAATGCTGAGCTGGACATAATAGGTCCCATCTGAGTTGGGGGCCACGTTCTTAAGGAGGGTCTCATACTTGCAGGCCTCTCCATCCCTGGTCCAGATGGCCTGGATCTCCTTGGGATAGAAGCCAAAGGCCTGGCAGGTGAGGACCTCCAGCCTCTCATCCTCCACTTTATGGGTCACCTTCCCCACTGGAGGCTCTGCAGAAACAGCAACAAGACCAGAGTTCCCAGAATTTCTAGAGTTCCTGGCAAGATGATTTAAATATCATGTCCTCCTTTGGCCCTCCTCTCCCTCTCTTCCCTCTCCTCCTCTGAACCTGTGAGACCCACAAAGATGGCAACATTGGAGTGAACGTCACTGCAATAGGACTAGATCTTATTTTCCTGCTCAGTTTCTTTGTCTTTCCTTCCGTAATAGGATGTGAGATACCTGCTGACACTTTTCTGCAGAGGGTGGATTGGCTATGTAGGACAGAGATAAAATGGGGGAGGGGGAGCCCATAGAAACATGATCAGGGGAGCCCCCTTTTTGCCACTCACCTATCTTCTCCAGAGTCGCCTTCTTGTAGGACAGATATCTCTGCAGGCACGCAATGCAGGTCTCCTCCAGGAAGACTTTACTTTCCTGGGACCATCTTGGATCCTCCTCCCACTCCTCCTTGACCTTCTGGGCCAGGGGCTGAGCTGTCACCCATCTGAGGGTCTCCTTGTCGAAGCTGATGAAGTCCATCCCATCGTAGCCATAGTGCAAAAACCCTCCTTTGCTCCCGTCTTCCCTGAGCTCACAGCCCAAATTCACCTGCCAGCTACGAAGCCCTAAAAGAGACCCGGAGGAGGTGGAGGTGAATGAAAAGGGTGCAGGATTCCTCTCCTTAGAGAATAAATAGAGTTACCTTCTCTTCCCCCCTGGGGAGAGAAACCCACTTTCCCTTTCTCCTCTTTTTCAGACAAGAGGAAATGTCTCTTACTTCAATTAACCCTGTTTGAGGTCCAGCCATGAAGAATTTCTGGGTGGGAGAGAGAATTGGGGGAGGGGGGGATTGGGGTCTTCTTTCCTTTCCAGCAGGCATTGATGTCCCTGGCTCTGCTCACCTCCAGCCTCCTGATCCAGTTTTGATAAGGTCTCCATGTCAGCCCTGAAGATCCACTCAGGGATCAGAAACTTCTT